TTTAGGGGCCAGCAGGTAGTGTGGTGGTTAAAGGCACTGGATTCCCGCATGGCTGATTGCAATCCCGGACCTCGCAGCTTGCTTTCTCACTTTCCCTTTCTCTCCGTCTCTCTCTAGTCAAAATTAAAAATAATAACAATAACAACTGGAATTAAATAAATAGTTATTTTTAAAAGATTTATTTTCATTTGCTATAGGGCATGTGCACTCACCAGAGGGAGACAAAGAGAGAGAGGAAAAATGAGAAAGAAAGCCACCAGGTCCGTGACTTGAACCACAGTCCGCTAGGAGTCCAGCGACATAGCCATTACGCTAACTGCTGGTTCCCCCAGAATCTAATATTTTAAAGCCCTCTCAAAAATAACACAGCGCCTGAGGATGTGTGGAATGGAAAACATGACTGTCTTAAGAAGTGAGAAGCGCAGAGCGAGCGGCACCCTCCCGAGTCTGCGTCTTGCGGCGAGGCGCTCACCTTCAGCCCCTCGTAGAGCTCATAGATCATCCTCAGCCCGTTCATCTCCTTCTGCACCTTGAGCAGCTCCGGGTACATCGTGATCGGGAGGTCGAAGAGCTTCTCGGCGTTGGCCAACTCCTGCCGGTTCTTCTCGTGTTTCGCCAGCTCTCTTTCAAAAGTGCCTAGGAGCTCTACTCCTGGCAAATGCACCCAGATAAGTGAACCCACGAATGGGAGGGCTATAAAATCAGTCGTGACGAATGGACTCAAATTGTGCTTTCACCCATAAGACAAGCTGAGAACTTCCAGACTGTCACGCCATCGTCCCAACTAGCTCCTCCGGTTAGAAAATCCTGTCTGATTCTCACGCCCAGAGTATACGAGAAACGAGGCTGTTTTAAGGTAGCCCGAGCTGGCCCCCTTAGGGCTGACGCCACCCGCCCTTCACCGCACCTCTGGAGCCCTTCGCCACCCTCCTGAGCACCCTCAGACGTCTGACGTCACCGCTCTGCTTCTCTGCCCCACCGCAGTGGCCGCTACAACTGCATCTCCGCGTCACTACTCAGTCTCCTACCCAGGAGCTCGCACTTCGAGGCGCCGTTTTACAGTTGTCTACCTACTGGGGCCAGCAGGTGGCACGGTGGTTAGGAGCACTGGACTCCCACATGGCCGACCGCGGCTGGATTCCCATGGCCGACCGCGGCTCGAGTCCTGGACCTTGTGGCTTTCTTTCTCTCTCACCCCATTCTCTCTCTGTCTCTCTCTGGTCAAATTTAAATAAATGAAGTTCACTAAATAATAATAATATATTTATTTTTTAAATTTATCTACCTATTTACTTATCATACTTACTAAATGTATTTTATTCACGATAGAGAATGGTGCCCATGCAGGAGCGAGCGAGGCTCTTATCAGAGCCCGGTTCTGGGCTCCAGCTCACCAGCATCTTGACACACGTGTGTGCACCCAGCGTGTTTCAGGCTGACCAAGCCAGAGAGCTGCACCTACGCTGGGCTACGCGGCTCCGGCCACACTTCACTCTGTCCCGACTACGGCCGAGGCTGGCTCTCGAGGGACCTTTCTCGAGCAGCCCTGGGGCGATGGGACCTGTGTCTGGAATCCTCACAGTCTTTGTTTATCAAATTCTGTCCTGAGTAAGAATGTTAGAACTCTTACCTCGGCCCCCTCTGAGCCTACGTCATTTGAAGGACAGAGGACAAACTCGAAGGAGTCGGGGTGTAAACCCAGGAATAACCCTAACAGGAGTGAAGTGACGAGGATGTGGGGAGGGCCCGGGGGCGTGTCTGGAAGGCAGATGCTGCTGCGTGAGACTCCCCAGTCGCAGCTGCAATCACGGTGCCCCTACAGGAGGGAGCCCTGCTTCCCAGCCACACACAGTAGGCACCAACATCAGCGGATTGATTCAGTCTGTCCTCCCATAGGTTCAGTCACCGAAACTACCCAAGAAAAGCAGCTGAGAAAAAAATAAATATGTAACTCAAAACGCCATGACCATTTCTCATAAAATTCTTAAGGAAAACATGATGGAAGAACTCAGTAAGAATGACGTGGGGCTGGGCAGTGGCACAGCTGACACGGCACTTTGGGAGGCAGACCCCATGAGAAGGTCGTGGGTTCACATCCAGAGTCCCCCCTGAGCACCAGACGCTGCCCACGATCTGGGGCCAGCTGCAGCTGGGCGTGGACTGGAGCGTCAAGACCCTATGTGCGGTGTGTGTCTCTCTCTCTTTCCTCTCTGTCTCATGTATGGAAGAGAGATAGACACTTAAAAAAAACAAGCCAACGTAAACATTCTTACCTTTATCGAGATCGTCACCAACAGAACCTGGGCCTTCGTTATAAAACCGTGTTGCGAATTCCTCTACCTGATGTCTGTAGTTCGTTATCTCGCCTCGAGTGATCTGAGGAAACACGGCAACCTGGTTAGCCCAGCGTGTGTGTTTCGACACCCTTACCCAGAGAGGTGAACGGGGAGGGCACCTCTGTGAACGTCCTCTTGATGCCCCCCAGGGCGTGCTCCGCGTTCACGGAGTCGTTGGACAGGGCCAGCCACATGTCCTCGATCTGCTCGACCAGTTCCCGCTCTGCCTCAGGTGGCTAATTAAAAAGAAAAAGATGAGTAAGCAGTGAACGTTCAGCAATTTGGAACTGAAACTCCCGGTCAAAGCTACTCGGCAGTGACTTCGGCTTCTGGAAACAACAGGTGAGATCATTTGAAGCCGGTTGAAGTATTACGATCTTATTTTTATAAGTAAAACAAAATCAGGGTAAAATCATTTTTAAAAAGTATTTTTAAAAATATGGGGCTGGCAGGTGGTGTGGTGGTTAAAGATGCTGGACTCCCACATGGCTGACCATGGGTCGAGTCTCAGCCCTGGCGGCTTGCTTTCTCACTCCCTCTCTCTCTGTCTCTCTCTGTCTTTCTCTGGTCAAATTGAAACAATAATACTACTAATAAATAAAGTTAAATCAAGTAATTTAAAAATAATAGCAATAAAAATAATAAAGATGGGACCAACAGATGGTGTAATGGCACTGGACTCCCAAGTAGTCAACTCCGGTTTGAGTCTTGGGCCCGGCAGCTTAAAACTCACGCTGGGCGCATGTACATGCATGCCCAAGATCCAAAGAGGAAAAGAAGGGACTGCAGTGTGGCCAACACCCCTGGGGGCTGAGTTCTTGCTTCCTGTCTCTCTGTCTCTGTCTCTCCAGCAAGCGCAGGCACCCTATAGCAAAATCTCTCTTTAAAAAATAAAGAAATTAATGATAAAGAAATAAACGGAGATAACCCAGAAAGATAAAACCCGGCTGAAGCTGAGCTTCACACTGCATCCATCTCTGACTAGACTAAGGTCCTCCGGGCTGGCTGTGGTGCCAGTTGTGCTGTCCCTCAGAAACCAAGGAGACCCTCGATGTGCCAGGGCGAGGCAGTGGTACGTCAGCATTCGGTGTTTGGTTGCACTGACTCTCCTGTCCTCTCTCTGCCGCCCCCTAGAGCACAGAGTCTGAGGAATGGGCTTGGCCGTGCGGGGAGCGCGAAGCAGGGAGGAGAAGCCAAGGGCCCTTGACAGCCTCCACATGCATCGACTCTGTTTCAGCAGCTCTGTGGCTTCCCTGCTTCAAGCCCAGCACCCTGGTGGTCCAGGGGTCGGACGCGGCACCCCAAATGCTGTCGCCGAGCAGCGGCCTGAGCTGAAAGCCAGCAATGAGAGAAATGCACACCCTGTTTCGGGGAGCATCTGATGCCCCCCACGGTGCCTGGACTCCCGAAGGTCCTCGGATGCTGCGCTTAACAACCCAAGCCCGGCCAGGCTAAGGGGATTATCTTCTGCCGGTTCCTTTGCATCCTGTGCCTCTTCCCCCACTTCTTATCTCTGAGAGTGCTCTTTACTTACTGAAGGAAACGAACACGAGGAGGAGGGAAGAGACGGAAAGGGGAGGGAGAGGAGGAAGAAGAGGACAGACTTGAAACGGCGTGCGGTCACAGAGCAGTTGCCAAAACCACTGGGCCGCGCAAGAACGAGAAATAGCCTGAGCTTTCATCATTCTGCGCACGATTACTGCTTAAAGTCACTTCTTGTCTGCCATAGCGGTGTACTTGAGAAGTATTTCTAAAAAGGGTCTGGGTAGCCAACCTGGCTATAAAATACAAGAGAAAGCAGAATGTGACGGCCCAGCCCCGCAGCCTCGTGGGAAGGAAGACAGATCCTACGCGGCTGACTGCAGTTCAAGTTATGACCTCGGGGGCTGGAAAAGCACACTGGGTACGTGTGTGTGTGTGTGCGCGCCCCAGGTCCCAGCAGGATGGAGAAACGGAAGGAGGGGCGACCACACCCCACCGGATGCTGCGCTTAACAACCCAAGCCCGGCCAGGCTAAGGGGATTATCTTCTGCCGGTTCCTTTGCATCCTGTGCCTCTTCCCCCACTTCTTATCTCTGAGAGTGCTCTTTACTTACTGAAGGAAACGAACACGAGGAGGAGGGAAGAGACGGAAAGGGGAGGGGAGAGGAGGAAGAAGAGGACAGACTTGAAACGGCGTGCGGTCACAGAGCAGTTGCCAAAACCACTGGGCCGCGCAAGAACGAGAAATAGCCTGAGCTTTCATCATTCTGCGCACGATTACTGCTTAAAGTCACTTCTTGTCTGCCATAGCGGTGTACTTGAGAAGTATTTCTAAAAAGGGTCTGGGTAGCCAACCTGGCTATAAAATACAAGAGAAAGCAGAATGTGACGGCCCAGCCCCGCAGCCTCGTGGGAAGGAAGACAGATCCTACGCGGCTGACTGCAGTTCAAGTTATGACCTCGGGGGCTGGAAAAGCACACTGGGTACGTGTGTGTGTGTGTGTGCGCGCCCCAGGTCCCAGCAGGATGGAGAAACGGAAGGAGGGGCGACCACACCCCACCGGGGCTGTGTTACCCCTCGGGCGCACGCGTCCCCCGGCGTTTAACGAAGAACACGGAAGCTGTCTTACGTGGATGTCATACATGGCCATGGTGCGGTACCGCTCCTGCACATCCCTGTACCTCAGCTCCATGACCAAAGATTTGCTTCTAATTTCCGCAATGGTCGCGAGCACAGACTTGAGGTCTTCGAGGGTGTTGGGGCTCTTCTTGAGGCTTTTGGACAGGAGCTATGAAAGAGGGAACGAGGGACACTAAATACACAAGACAGAGACGGCGGCAGTCCCCAATGGCGGCCGCCCGGCCCGACAAGCAGCCTTAACGACACGCGGTGACCGGGCACCTCCATCTCTTCGTGGAGACTATGCAGCTCCTCCCTCGCCGACTCGTTGAGGAGCTTGCCCAGCGAGATCACCCAGGACTTGGCATTTTCCTGCACCGTGCTTGCCAGAGGTCCGAGCTGAAGCCTGATGCAGTGGTCGTCCTTGACCAGAGGGTGGCGCATCACCTCGGCGGCCACCTTGGCATAGAACTGCAGCTTCTCATCGTAGGCCACGCACGGGGGCTTCCTGGCCGCAAACTTCTCCATCACGATGGCCTTGTCCAGCTTCCAGAGCGGTCGGTAGCGCTTCCACTTCTGCAGGTACTTCATAAGATTGACCAGAATCCTGTGGACGTTTTGGGGGACCATGACAGCTTGTTCGATTATCTGGGGGTTCAGGGAGATGTCGTTGTAAAAGCTTATTATAACGACTTCCTCCTCCTCGCCCTTCTGAGGAGGGCACTCGATGCAGCTGCCGTTCATCCAGCGGACAAAGTGCTGCAAGGTAAGGGCGGGGGAGACGGGATGTGGGAACACGCTCTGCTGTCTGTCTGTCTGTCTGCATATGCAGTAATACGCCTGGGTAATAGGGAAATCGCTATTCTTTCTAAACTGCGCCCCACCACGAAAATGACCACAACCTTCTGTTCCTCCCGTCAAGGGATGGAGTCTCCTTCCCCATCCCTGGCCAGCCTCGTGACCTAGGATGACCAGTGGAAAGGGACAGGAGTGGCACCAGGCAAGTTCCAAGCCAAGGACTCAAGGAGGCCTGGAGTTCCCGCCCCCACGTTCTCGAAAGCCCACAGCACCAGGTGGAGAGTATGAGCTCGCCTGCGGGGTGCTATGAGCCTCAGGAGAACTAAGGCGCCCGGCCCACGGCCCCCAGTCATCGGGCTGTGACGGAAGTCAGCGTCGGCTGCTGGAGGCCAAGAGCGAGCACAGCCAAGACCAGAACTGCCCAGCAGAGCCAGCCCTCGGGACCAAGCACTAAATACAGTTACTGGTTAAAGTCACTCAGGTGTGAAGTGATTTGTCATGCCATAGAAGCTAACGTGAACGGGGCCAGCAGGGGCGTAGGTTAGGACAGCCAGACCCTACACGGCCGACTCTGCAGTTTGAGTCCTCGATCTACCAGCAAGAGACACGCTGGGCGCGTGCGGACCGGCCCACAATCCCCAGAGGAGCATGCAGTGGAAGGGACTTGGACATGGTCATCCCCCCCGGGAGGTAATTTCTCACCCTCCTCTCTCTCTTTCTCTGTCTCTCTCCAGTGAGCTCACATCCCTACAGCAAAAACTGAAAAAAAAAAAAAAAAAGTTAAAATGATCCTCAGTGGGACCAGCAGTTGGCATAAGGGCTATGTTGTGGGACTCCCGTGTAGTAGACTGCGGTTCAAGTTCTGGACCCGGTGGCTTAAACTCACATGTGTGCGTGCGTGCTCCAGATCCTGAGAGGAGAATGGAGGAGAAGGGATTTTGGCATGGCCATCCCCCCTGGGGGGTGATTTATCGCTTTCTGTCTCTCTGTCTCTCTTTCTGGCGAGTGCACGTGCCCTATAGCAAAAACCTCTCCAAAAAAAAGATCTGGCAGCTTGAGAAAACGACGGGGGTGTACATGACGCCCAAACTCCTGTAAGGGGGCTGAGGGATGGAGGAGTGTGCGCTGTGAATGCCCCCCAAGGGCACGAGGGCGCTTTCTCCTCTCTCTTTCTCTCTGGTGAGCATGCGGACCCTCTGGCAAAAAAAAAAAAAAAATCCACATTGCACAGCCAGGTCTCAGGTCCAGGGGGAGACACGGGAGTGGAAAGGTCTGGGCTGGAGGTGGAAGTGAGCCGCCATCTCCATGGTGGCAGTAAGAGTCGTCGGTCTGGTCATGGCTGAGTAGAGAGGGCGGATGAAGCAGGAAGAAAAGGGAGACAGGATCAAGCCAGGGCCACTCCTAAATTTAGAGCCCTACATAGGAGGAGTGGGGAAGAGCCCAAGGGCGGAACTGGAGCCTGCGTCCTTCCAGGAAACCTCTCCTCTGTGGGAGCAGCCGTCTGCACCAAGAGTTGCCGACTGGAGCCGAGAGGAGCCGAGAGCAGCCGAAGACAGCCGAGGGCAGCCAAGAGCAGCCAAGAATAGCTGAGAGCAGCCAAGGACAACCGAGGACAGCCGAGAGCAGCCGAGAGTAGCCAAGGACAATCGAGAGCAGCCGAGGACATCCAGGGGTCTCCATACCTTGGTGATCTCCACGCAGTTGCGGACGGAGTGGACGCACATCTTGTCGATCTCGTTTGCGTTGGGATGAAGGATGATCTCGGGGGCGGTCAGAATGGTCTCCGTTTGGAACAATGGGACGTTTCCAAGGATTAAAGAATTGAACGAGTGCAAATTCCTAAGAGGGATAATGAAAAAGACTCAGACTCCCCGAGTGAAATGCTCCCAATGTCGATGAGGATGGCTGTCAGCAAAGTCACCGGGAGAAGCCGCCGCCCCAGCGCTGTGGGGGGTAAAGGACGGGCAGGGTGGCTTTGCTGCACATTCTTGCTTTGTCCTGTCTACACGAAGAGTTCGTTTCTGCTCTTGGGAGTTGGGTACCTTTTGGTTGGGAAATACTTAACTAATAATGCTGACTCCAAATTTCCACTCGTGCAGGAGAAATGAACCGGACCCTGCCCGCCCTGCCCACCCAGGTCTGTCCCTGCAGGAGCGACTCAGGATGACGTTCTGGGTGGGACAGCGTCATCGCCTCCAAACCACTCGGTCCCCTCCTCCCCTGGCCCGCACAGTAATCTGTAAAATGGCCAGAAAGACTTTTTTTTTTCTTGGAGAGGTTTTTGCTATAGGGCACGTGCACTCACCAGAGAGAGACAAACAGACAGAAAGCGAGAAATCACCCCCCAGGGAAGATGGCCACGCTGCAATCCCTCTCCTCCATTCTGCTCTTGCGCGCGCATGCGCATGCACCCGGCAGTAGTTTAAGCCACCGGGTCCAGGATTCAAACCACGGTTGACTACCTGGGAGTCCAGGACACAGCCATTACGCTAACTGCTGGTCCCCAGAAAGACTTTTTAAAAAATACCAGCTACTTCAAAACGTTTGTGGAAAATGGAATTCAAGTAAAAGTTTATTTCAGTGCAAAAATGTTTTCAAATCCATACATAGACTTGTCTCTGCATTTTCCATGAACGGATTTGAAGCCACTCACACAGCTCCTATCCCTCTCTCGCTCCCCTTCTCCTCTCTCTCCCTCCTCTTTTTCCCCCTCCCTCACTCCTTTCTTCTCTCCCTCGGTACTCCTCCCTCCCTCTCTTCCTCCCTCTTTGTATCTTTGACTCTGAGCATCTCAGCTCTGACTCCGACAATTCACAGTGCCCATACCGTCTAAAACAAATAGTGGAGGGACCAGCAGTTAGCGTAATGGCTATGTTGCTGGACTCCCATGTAGTCGACCGCGGTTCGCATCCCAGACCTGGTGGCTTAAAACTCACGCCGGGCGCGTGTGCGTGCATGCCCAAGATCCTGAGAGGAGAATGGAGGAGAAGGGATCGCAGCATGGCCATCCCTCCTCGGGGGGGATTTCTCGCTTTCTGTCTGTCTGTCTGTCTGTCTCCCTCTGTCTGTCTGGCAAGCGCACGCACCCCATAGCAAAAACCTCTCCAGAAAAAAAAGAAAAAGAAAAAAAAAATAGTGGAAAATGAAAGGACAAAAGCCTCCTTTGGGAGGCCAAGGTCGACCAGGAAATCAGAGAAATGTCTCCGAGGCTGGTCATAAGGAAGACGTTGTGTGGTGAAAGGGATGTCACGCCTTGACCATGTAAACGCCAAGTGACCGCCAGGAACCTCGCAGACTGGTTTCTTGGAGTGGCCCTAAGCCGTCAGCTTCGTGCTCACCCGGAGAAGCCTCAGGGCCCCGAGGTGAGCCCGTCCAGGCTCTCAGATCAGCTGGTCTAGTAAGCTCCCAGGCGATGTGGCCCAGGATGGAGGATGGCGTCTGGAGGGTCCGAGGATGACACTCAGCACAGACCTGCGGGCCATCTGAGCAGGGCTGACTCTGACCGGCCAGAGGAGGACAGCGCCTCGTGTCCTTCACCCTGGCCCTGTCAGTGTGATCCAGGCCCCCTGGGGTGTGGGTGAGGACTGAGGGGCTGCAGTTCCCTGTTGCTATCGCACACCGACGTGCTCCATCTCTAGACAGGGGAAGGGGCAAAGGGACGACTTCCTTCTCTGAGTGTGGAGGAGCCCACCAAGGACGCGAGGCCAGAGGGAAAGGTCGGCCCTCTGTCCTGCAAGAGCCCTTCCGGGCCAGGAAGCATCTTCCCGCCCACCGTGGCCGCCCACATTCCAGAAACCCTCCCAGCCATGCACGCCGCCTTCCACACCCGCGCGGCGCAGGGGACCTACTTCAGGATGAGCTTCGTCAGGACCTCGTAGATCCTGTTCTCCCAGTACTCGTAGTAGGAGGCCAGCTTGGGGGCCCTGCCCGTGTTGGTGTGGATGACCAGACCCTCCACCTTGGTCAGCAGAGGCCCGATGGCGAGATACCACCGGACCATGTGGTCCACGTCCTTGGCCCGCTCTCGCTCAATGTGCTCGAAGAATTCCTTCACGCCTGCAGAGAGAGACACCTGTGACCACAGGGGGACACGGGGAAGGGCGCTGCTCTAACAGTGAGCCCAACGCGCAACCTTGACCCAAAGAGAAGACAAATTCTGTGCAAATTTCATACAAGAAATAGATAGTGACACCGGAATCCCTGTCAGGTGTGGCTGAGGTTAGTCTCACAGAGAAGGTGGCTTTTCACAGCGGGGGCAGTCTTGTTTTTTCTGAATTTCTTGTTGACTAGTCTCAGGCCACTTAAAACATCCTATCTGAACTAGTAAACAGGAGCTCTTAAAGACGCAATTCAGGGAACCAGCAGTTAGCGTAGTGGCTATGTCGCTGGATTCCCACGTAGTCGACCGTGGTTCGTGTCCCAGACCCGGTGGCTTAAAA